GCCACCGCGCCCGGCCGAGAATTTCTTGAATCTGGGAAGCCGAGGTTGCACTGAGCCAAGATTGCACCACTGCCTGGGTGACAGAGCGAGACTCCGTCTCAAAAAAACAACAAAAAAAATTATCCCATTTGTCAGAGGAAAAGCCCGAGAGTCAGAGTGGCTTTCACAGCCGGGCATAGAATCTGCCCCTCTTAATTGCCTTAGTATGATTTTTCCTAAGGTGATTAAGTCCACAGTGACTGGACTTTGAACTTTGCGCCATTTCCATTTTTGGCAGCGCACGTTGCCTGCCTGGGCAGGGTTTGCATGGGCCATTGTTCGGAAGCGGAGCTGTTGAGTGCCGGGTGTGCAGACGTAAATCTGCAATGGGTCCCATCAGGTGCCATCCAGAAAGGCCAGGCCATTCACATGCTGTCGCCTCTGGGCTTTGCAAACCTGCAGAGGTGGCCGGTCCAGTGCTCCAGGCCTGGTCCCTGGCCCGTCTGCTCTGGAGCTGAGATGAGCTAACTCTCCCTCTCCCCCCAGGAGCCCCGCAGAGCAGGAAGGAGGCCGACCCTGCACCCCCGACGCCTGGCGCGTCCTCCCTGAGCCAGCTGGGTGCGTACCTGGACAGTGACGACAGCAACGGCAGCAACTGAGCCCTCCTAGGACCCCCGCCCTGGGTCAGGGCCACACGTCCAGCTTCAGCCACGTTGAGGCCGGCGTTGCTGGTGGTCGGGGCAGGAGGCCTTGGCGTAACCGGGGACCCTGCAGACAAGTGCCAGCGTGCCCCGAGCACGTAGGGCCAACAGGGACCTCAGCCCCGGGAGGTCGCTTCTCTCTGCCCTCACCAGCCTCTCAACACATCGGGGACACCTGCTGCTCCTGCCTCCACCTGTCACCATGCTTAGGGCTGCAGTATCCCTAGCGCGTCTCAGCTTCCAGCACTACTTCAGGGTGGCGGTGTCTGGGGCACTGGGCGAGCCCACTGGCCTCTAGAGGGCCTCATCTCTTCCTTCCACAAACTGTCTAGAACCAATAAAAGGAAATCTGCCAACCG